TGATGGTATGGGATGCACCAATAGACAGATGGCCTCAGGTATACAGCAGGATGAAGGCTTCATGGAAGCACATTAACACATTCCTCTTCTCTTGTCATGTTTCCGTAGCAAGGGCAGCTAAAATCTACTTCTTTAGCAACAGGCCCCTTCCCTTTGTATTAATCTAAGTTCTTTTAGAACTGAGGAAGAAAACATTTGCTTCCTTGATCTCTATAATTTGTTTAACCTTGAAGTCACTTATTTCTACTTTTTTTTCGTAGTCTATTATTTGCATTCTATCAAAAATCCCTGTAACTGAGCATTTTGAACAGAATATAGACATTTGCAAGACTCCCAATTCTGGTGACTGGAAAGCCCCAAATCATCACAAAATGAATGGTAAAAGACAGAATAACAGTGCAGAGCCTGAGTTTTATCTGTGGCAGTTCCTCTCTGTTCTGATCTCATTCTCTTTGCTTACAAGCCCTCCAGAACTCCATCGATGGAACCCTGCTCTGAAGAACTTTCCACAGCCAAAAGCCCGAGCCTGTGACACCGTGAAGTTTTCACTTAACAGGTTACAATGCAATCAAATGCCTGCACAGGAATTCTGGGGTCTTTCAGCTACCATATCTTCAGACTTCAGGTTTATTGGTTCCTGCTCTTCCAGCTGCTCAAGTGCCCCTAAGGCTTCTTTTTCAAACCTCCTGGAGCACTGATTCTGAATCCAGTCGGTCAGCTCTCTCCTTCTCAGGGTTCCTTAGGTTTCCTAAGTCTTCCCTGATTACAGAGGGGTCAACAAGATGAAAAAACAAGAATGCTCAGGTAGGGGCCAGCAGGTTAGGGTTAGAGCTCTGGACTAACACATGGTCAACCAAGGTTCAAGTGCCAGGCTTTGTGGCTTGGTTTCCTACTTTCCCTCCCTCTATCTGTCTCTCACTGGTGAGCACACAAGTCCTATAGGAAATTAAATAATAATAATAATAATAAATAAAATAAAATAAATAATTCTTTTAAAAAATGTCCAGGTTGTGGCCTGCACATAGTGTACTGGTTATGCCACTGGATTCCCATATGCTGACCACAGTTAAGAGTCCCAGACCCAGTCAAGTTTTATCTGTAAAACTTAATACAGGGATTGATTAAAGGAAAAAAGTCATCATCATCTCAACAAACACAGAAAATGTATTTTATAAACGGTAATACAGAGCATCCCAAACTTGACATGGTTTGACTTAGGATTTTTTGACATTACTAGGGTCCAAGATCAATGCGAATTCAGTAGAAATCACACCTTGAATACCCATACCAGCAGTTCTTCTGTTTTTTCATTTTCACTATTCAACAGCTTACATGCGATATTCAACACACATGAGAAGACAGGATTTGGTTAGATTATTCTGCCCCACTGTTGGCTAGCCCAGGTGTTAGGAGCATGTGTAAGGTATGGTATGGTAGGCTAAGCTATGACATTAAGTAGGTTGAGCGTATTAGATGCATCTCTGACTTCCAGAATTTTCAACTTATGATGTGTTTACTATGATGTAATCTCATGATAAGGATGAGCATTTGTACTCTGATCTCTAGTTTTACTTATTTTTTTAAAGGTTTCTTAAAAAATTATTCATTTTTAAATAAGACTCCCAACGCAGAGTCTATGATCCCTAAAATAGACAAGTGGGATTACATCAGACTAAGAAGTTTCTGCATGGCAAAAGACACAGAGATTAGTGTGAACAGACAGCCCTCAGAATGGGAAAATATTTTTGTAAACTATGCATCAGACAAGGGACTGATAACCAGAATTCACAAGGAACTCAAGCAGCTGTTCCGGAAAAAGACAATCAATCCTATTAAAAGATGGGAGAATGAGTTGAAAAAACCACTCTCTAAAGATGACATACGAATAGCTAAAAGGCATATGAAAAAATGCTCAACATCCCTCATTGTAAGAGAAATGCAGATCAAAACAACA